CAGAAAGCTGGCGTGAAGTGTGTAGAATAAAGACGAACCAGATGGATTTAGGCCCCATACAGGTACCTTCTACTCTATGGCAGTGAGACAGAAAGGAGAGAGAAATCTTTGGCCTTTGTTATAATCTTTACTGAGCTCCAATATTCACATTAATTGTTTCCAGGCATAAACCATTCCTGTATATTAGAAAATCAAAACACAGCTGCCAGCATGGCGGAGAAAAGCAGGCAAATCGAAGAGCTCTATATATGTTCAGGCTCCACCATGAATAAGTAAATGAGCCAGCACTGCAGCTTAGGAAAATAAATAACCCTTCCCTGCTATTTCCATTATGAGGCTCATTGACACTACTGAGGCTGACAGAGCTTGATATAAATGAACGTCTCCCAGATGTGTTCGCTGCTGGTGGATGCTCTGAAGGTGGCCGGGTCGGCTTGGCACATGCCCCCAGCCCAGTCCAGTCACACCCCCTAGTCTGCTTCGGCTTCTTCCATTCAGCACAAGAATCACAAATATGTGCATGGTGGGTAAAACAGATGAGCAATAGCTGCTGATGCTAGAATAACAGTAGGGAAGAATGCGAGATGGATTCAACTAAATGGCCCTTAGGAAAATTACAGGAGAATCCAGAACATTTCTGACTTCGGATTTCGCAGGAAGCTACGGGAAACAGAGACCCCGGTTTTCTACCAACTTGCTGCAGTGTTTCCCCCCACATCTATCCCTCAGCTCCTCCATTTGTACAGTGATGGTCCTCCAAGGTAGCAAATAGCCCCGAGTGCGAAGTGCTAATTCCTCAGGGGCAGGACAGAGGGGACATTACAAGTGATTACCCAGTTCCACTTGTAAACCTATAAATCACCACAATCTGAGAAATGCAGACCTTCCTGTGCATCAGCCACCCAGGTGCAGAGGGGTCTCCAGTTCCAACATCTCCCCATACCTGTACGTCTCCACATGCTAAACCAGCATATGGGTTTGGATTCATAGGGTCGATAGTTTCACAGATGCAAACAATAAGCGTTTCCAAAGACCACCACCCTTCCCCCAGCTGCCTCCTGTTTTGCTTTTCCTCCATCCCCTTTTGGGACAAGGCAACACTTTGAGTAACAGCTGTAAGAGCTTTAGAAATCTGGCTTTTATGTAAGATTGCTTCTCCGCTTCAGGGCACAACACAGTGAGACACTGCACCGGGCCACAGGAGTCTGAACCCACGGCAGCTCTCCTTATGAGCGTCATTGCATTCTACGTGTGCATTCGACATGGCCAGGCATCACAAGGCACAAATTCCAGCTCTGCATCCATCTCCAGTCCTGTTGATTCGCCCCCTCTTCCCAGTGATGGAGAGGCAGGGGGGTTGGACCCATCCTTCTGTGATTTACTGCACCAGCTTCTAATGAGGCAGACAGGGGAGCCTGTGTCAGCATAAAAAGGCAGGAGAGTGGCTTGAACTCCACCAGCCGACACGCCATAGACCATGTTTGTACAGGCAGGCCTGGTGTCAACTATTTATTACCTGTGACGCTGGGAACGCACAGTCCTGCTCGAGGTCACCAACACACATGCGGGAGGGTTCCCCCCAAGGGAGCAGGCAACCTCAGCATTTCTGGTTTCTGTAACTTGGTTTCTTTTCCTTTCTGTCGGAGATGTTCTGTTACAGAGCCACCGCTGTGCCTCATCTGCTTTCACAGAGCGCCCTTCAGCTAAAATTGCTGCAGAGCCAAATCATCCCATCACAGACTTTAAAAAAAAAAAAAGTCAAAATTAATGGTTATAAGCAAAGGAGATAAAAAGCTCCAACTTCAGCTGAGGTTTAAAAGAAAGGAGAAGGATGATGAAGCAGGGAGATGCTAAGGGAAGAGAGGCAGACAAAAGCTCTAAGTGAGGCTCGGTTTAAAAAAACAGAAATGGTCAAACCGGAGCCTGAAATGAAGGAGCCAGAGAAGTTTGTTGAGCACGCTGGCAATAGGCTCTTACGCTGTTTGTGCGAGGAAATGGGTGTCCACATTCCCCATGGAAACACACGCCCCACAGTTCTCCAGTAGGGCCTACAGCTTAGCTTGCCCACTGCCCAAGCCCCCTTAGCTATACCTTCTTCAGAAGCATTGCAGCAGCTATGCCCAGACCTTAACTCCTCTTTCTATTGAGGTTTTCTTAGGCTACAAACAGATGCTGTTTTTGTGCTGGGATGTGTTGTCCCCAGATGTATCCTGGCTCATCTGATCCATTTTATTGGCATGTGCACGTCACCCGGGGCCTGCAGGACTGGTCTCCTGCTGCTCCAGGGGCTCGATCCTGGGGCTCTGTGCGCCTGACCCCAACCCGAGGAACTCCCCATGGGATTCCACTCCATGCTTGCAGTTGCAAACCCAGGGTTGGAGCCAGGCAATGTGAAATGCTGGGTTGAGGCCCACCCTGGGAATCCCCTGCAGGGGATTTGTGCCCAAATGTATAGACGTTCGCCATGATAAAGCAGCAAAAGCTGTTAGTAGGAATTGTTGTACAACAACAAGGGGAAAGGACGTCTGTTTTGTCCTGCTCGTGTTCTGTCCTGCCATAAGTTTTATGGTGGGACAAGGATGATGCGTTTCTGCCCTTCCACACTTGAGAGGTTCCAGGAGACCATCATGATCTTTGTGCCTTCCAATCTTAACCTTTCTATAGATGATAATGCACTGGATTACAATATCCCCTCTGGTATCCATCCTTAAATGTGACCTTGTAACAAGGGTGCTCTTCTTTATAACCTCTCTCCCACTTTTTTGCCCACTAAAAACACACCCAGTCCCATCCAAACCCTTCCAACACCCGACTCCACTGAGCAAACATTGTCAAGATACAGCCAGAAATAGAGTGAACCGTAATGACAAGTCCTGGACAGAGTTCCTGCATCGAACTATTTACATGATAAAGAGATCAGGCCCATTGCGTATGCATATATGCACATGCAGAATCTGTGCAGCACCTGAAGCTATCCCCACTAGATCAGTGGTTTTCAACCTTTTTTCATTTATGGACCCCTAAAAAATTTTGAATGGAGGTATGAACTCCTTTGGAAATTTCATATGGAGGTATTCATCCCCCATCCACAGTAGCTAGGTAGGCACAGGGATGTGGACACTTCAGGACGCATCCTGCGTTTTTATATCTGACACCTATATTCCTTTTGGGGACCCCGGCAGTGTTGCTTCCTTGGCTGTGTTCCCAAGCTCCCATGCTACAATATCTGAATGTGTTTGCTTCCCACTCTCACTATGCCCCGCAAGATCTTTGTCTGGCATCACAACTCTTAGTTAGCTGACAAATCTCAAACTCCTTTGGATGTGATGTGACAAGCTTCCATTAAATTCTAGTGCTTTGGCTCTGCTTCAGTGAAGAATAGGATCTGTGTTTGGGTTAGGGTGAAAAATTTACAGTGTTACATTATGCACCACTCAGCTGAAGGAGGAAAAGAAAATTCCATGAAGTGCTTTAATCCCTGGCTGGTTAGCAACACTGCCTTCCCCACGGCTCGGACGCTGGAGAGCCCTGCAGAGGCCGCGATAAAGAGGGAGGTCACGGTCAGATTTAATAAGGTCTCACATTCCCTCTAAAATGCCACCAGAGAGCAGACAAAAGCGTGTGTTTGCTGAGCTCATCGGGCAAAGCCAGGGTTTGCACAGAGGTATTTGGTATGCACACGGCGTCGCTGCCTTTGGAAGCTATCGTACCACTGACGCCAGCGGGAAGGAGGGGGTTAGCACTGAGAAAGCACACAACATGCCATAATGAAGCCTGCTAGGCCACTGCTTGTGTCAGGGCCTCTCCCTGCCTCGGTTTTCTTCCAAGAAGAGGAGGACAGCAGGGTGTGCACAGCTGTGAGCGGGAGACGGGACAACCGTTCTGCTAAGATATGGCCATGCAAAGGATAACTTGAGAATCCCTATTTAATTCATTGTTTTACTCCTCGCCAGGCTTTGAAGAGGTCTTGACCATACTGCTGCATGCATCCCGGGTGGGACAGAGAAGGCTTCCCGCTTCCTAGGACCCAAATTCTTCTGCTGGGTTTCAACAGCGGCATGGAAGAACCGCCTATGCCGGTAGGAACTGAGGACATCAGGAGGGAGATGCTTTTAGGACCAGCTCCTGCTGCCACCTCGTGGCTCTTCTTCATACCTTGGCAGTGTGCAAAGTGCATGCGGTTCTCCTGCCACCGGACTGAAGATGACAACACATCCAAAGCCCAAGAACAACAATTCGATTAGCGACACTACCGAGAACTTGCATTGCACTAGCAAAAGCTGTTTCCACCCTTGAATTATATCAAGGAGAGTTATTTTTCATTGTTATCTATCTTGACCAGTACTGAAAAAACACAGCATGACAAATCCAATAAAACCCTCTGAAAGCAAAGACAAATGTGTGTGTTGAAAAGGCAGGAGACGCATTGATTTATCAGCAATTTTAAGGGCCTCTTATGCCACGGTGAAGTCACCAACTTTAACATATATTAGGTGAAAATTAATTCAATCAGTCAAATAGCTGACATCCTACATTCAAAAGCCAAGACAGGTGTAGTCAATCCAGCAATGAAAGCACAGCATGTGGGGAAAAGAATCACATTTGTACCAAAGAGGTTCTTTGAGCCTTCCCTTCCCTCCTCCCAAAGGCAAAGGTGATTGATTTCCCATTTATTTCACATTTTATTTAACTTCAAATTCAGGAAAAAGTATGTTTTCCCAGGAGCAGAAATTCACCACTGTGGGCCTTGTAACCTAAAATCACTAACAGGAAAAGCAAAACTCTCCAGACAAAGCTTGTGGAAAATGATACCTTTCTTTGATTCCAGTACTGTCATGAAAAACTGACCCCAAGGTGCCAGTTATTAGTGAGAAGCTTTCTGCAAGACAGAGAAATGTCTCTTCCTTCATTACCTCCCCTAGATGCCCTATCAAGAAGACGGTAAGCAAGACCGATAACAAAGACCATATATATTGATCTGCCTTCCAATTTATTCCTACCTGTACTGGGCTTCAGCCGGTTCTCAGCCAGTTCAGAAATTGCTCCTGTTGTAATGGTCTTCTTCAGTCTGGAGACCCCAGAGCCTGCTGTTACCCCTGGCTTTGTGAGCATGTCATCGCTGCTGGCTCTCTTCAGCTGCAAGAAAAACCACCCTGTGAGCAACCGGAAGAAAGCACTCTCTGCTCTGTTGGTGAACAAGTTAATGGTACAGAGATGGATGGTGAAAGTGCTGAAACCTTGAGGGATAACAAGTTCTTTCAGGAAACCCATGGAAACAGGACATTGGGAACACAGTCAGGAGCCACTGCTGAGCACCCAGAAGAGCGCTCTCCCCACAGTCAGGAGGGTTTCCTACCTTGGCGTGTGATGCCCAAACATATTTATTTATGCAGAAAGGGACCTGCGGGTGACAGTGGACCATAAGCTGGATATGAGCCAGCAGTGCACCCTTGTTGCCAAGCAAGCTAAGGGCATTCTGCGCTACATCGGTAGGAGTGTTGCCAGCAGATCCAGGGCAGTGATTCTTCCCCTCTATTCTGCACTGGGGAGGTCACAACTGGAGTCCTGTGTCCAGTTTTGGGTTCCCCACTACAGAAAAGATGTGGACAAACTGGGGAGAGTCTACAGAGGGCAATGAAAATGATTAGGTGGCTGGGGCACATGATTTAGGAGGAGAGGCTGGGGGAACTGCACTTATTCAGTCTGGAGAAGGGAAGACTGAGCAGGGCCTTCAACTCCCTGCAGGGGGGTTGCAAAGAGGATGGAGCTGGACTGTCCTCAGTGGGGGCAGATGACAGAAGGACCAATGGGTTCAAGTTGCAGCTAGGGAGCTTTAGGATGGATATTAGGAAAAACCTCTCGCTAGGAGAGTAGTAAAGCACTGGAACAGGCTACCCAGAGACGTTGTTGAATCTCCATCTTTAGAAGTTTTTAAGACACTGGTTGACAAAGCCCTGGCTAGGATGATGTAGTTGGGGCTGGTCCTGCTTTGAGTAGGGGCTGGATTAGATGTAACCTCTTGAGGTCCCTTCCACCCTCATTGTCTGTGATTCTATTTATCTACAGGCCAAGGCCCATGGGTTGAGAAGCAAATGAGATGAATTAACTTTGACTCAACACACCCCACCGGATCCTCACTTATGACACACAGGATGCTGCTGTTCTCCAGCAGTGACCTCGCTCCTCTCCCAGGAAGGTGGAGTGGGTCTAGCGGAGGGGGGCTGCCAGTTTATTCCCATCAATAGAGAATTGCCAAGCTTAGCTGCACCAGATCCTGCTTCTCGAAAAACAAATGGCACACGCTAGGGACTGAGCAGACCCCAAAACTCAGCATTTAGCCCTGCTGAGGACTGCAATGCTGCTGCACTGAAAGAGCAGAGCAGAGTAACACGGCTCCCCCGAAGGGAAATGTCATCTGAAAGCTGAAATTGTTTGGGCTGTTTAGGCCTTCGGGGGCTTTATTTATTGAACAGCAGTGAGCAAAGCTGGCTGATAACAGTTTGGTGGGCACTGCTGCTAGTGTCCTTGCTCAGCAGGATGGGACTCGATAAGAAGTGGGAAAATGAAAAAGCAGGATTTGCTCTTGGGGATGCCGGATGAAATCCATCACAGCAGAGGAAGGCATCAGCTCCCAGGTTTAGAAAAACAAGCTGCAGAAATCTCCACATTACTATATACACATCTCATAGCATGGTTGGAGGCTTGCTGTAGTGGTCCAGGAAAGATATGAGAGGCATGAACTTTTTTTTTGGTAGGGAGGGAGGGGGCAGCATCGTTTATTGGACCAACACACTTTTGGCACAAAGGTTCCTGAAAACTTATCTACCATTTCTCCCAACAACACAGTTCATCCAGTAAAAGATATCAGCCAAAGCAATTCATCACCACTGCAACCCTGCAGAAAGACAAGCCATGATCCTCCAAGGTCAGTCTTAAAAAGGTATTTGAGTAGAAAGGTGGTTACTGCCCTGGAAATAGAAACTGTGCAGCAGTTACAAGGTCTCCAAGTGAGAGTGGAATAAGGATCTTCTGTTCAGAAGAATGAGCAGAGAAACGGTACCCAAAAATGCTCAAAAATGCAGGAACCACTGAAATTAACTACATGGGCAGATCAGGGAGGGCCTTTTGCAGTTTGATCTTTCAGGAGTGGGGGTAGAACAGATGCAAGACCTCAGAACAAGTGATCTAATTACAAACCTAAAATGGAAGGATGTATGAGGAGCTGCTCAGACACTCCCGAGTCACATGTTTGAATCAAGTTTTCTTACTCAAAGTCCCCAAAAATCTTTTGTAAACCCATGACTAAAGTTCTGACAACACAGTGCCTTTGTAAGGAAACGAAATGCATTTTGTGGTCAGAAATAGCTCCCACAGGGCCTGGGACTTTACTGTTTGTTGAGATGGGAAATACCAGGCAGGACAATATACTATAGCCATGGAGCACACACTTGCACAACCCATCCAAAATGAGCAAAAAAGGAACTTTTCTGTTATGATGAAAGACTGGCACCATTAAGAGTAGATCATCTCCTCTCCCAGTATCAAACCGCAGTGCACTACGGGGGATGAGTACCATAACTTCCCAGCCACATGGCAAGATGCCACCCAGAGCTACAAGACTTTAGTCACAGAAACTTAAGGGATATTCAGAGAACTACCTTCATATTTTTATTGCCTGAAATTCCCCTAGCTGGCTCCCCACTGGAGGATAATACTCAAAATCCACCTCTTGCTGCCACCGCCATAGTTTACTCAATAAACTTTACTGCACCTGAATAAGCAAGAGTGGTAATTATTTTTGCTGGTAAATACAAGTTCATTCTGAAGGCATATTCAGGAAATTCATGCAACACAAACCACCCCAAACAGATGCCTCACAAGGAAAACACTCAAATGATGTTGGTCCAAAGCAAGAAGAAAGAATCCCTCTCGGAACACAGTCATCTGCATTACCCCATTTGTGCCTCTCCGTAGCTCAGGCTTTAATTAGTAACCCTTTAGAGACAGAAACCTTTTAAACATCTTAAAAAGCAAAACTCTGCAGGGTGTCTCTGAAGAGCAGGATTAAGCGGTTTAGTCGGTTCAGAGCTGGAACACATTTAAGTAAAACCCAATCTCTCTCAACTCTAAATTGTTCCCTCCTTTCATCTCATCATCTGATTCAGAGTCTGTGGTTTCCTGGACCCTGGAAGCAAACAAGTGTTGATAGCCAAAGCATTGATCTACTGCAGGAAACCAGACATCTGAAGTTCTGCATGATGGCGGTGCTTTTGCCAGCTATTTTTAAAACTAAAACAGAACAATGTGGCTTTCTGACCTTTAGAAAAGGCTTCATCCAAGTTTGTTTAATAGTGGCTCTTAACACGTTCACCACTTTCCATGGCAGAAACACACATCACCACACTGCCTACGTCTCTCCCCAGTCTCGTGCTACCTGCTCACTTTGGTTACCTTTTAACTTCCAAGTGTTCAATAGCTTACAGATCACAGATGGAGTTAAAGATGGGACACAACATTTTAAAAGGATGCACCATCCACTATACAAGGTGCCACAGCTAGCCTGGAATTCCCACCTCATTTGCTCAGAAATACCAGTGCCTGAGAAGAATGGTATTTCAGTGACAAATACAGACTGGCTGGACCCCCTAGCCTAAAAATACCCCGTTCCTAAGGTATTTGGAGCTTCTACAAGCCTGTAACAACCCCTGTGTTGAGGCTAATCTCTCTCTATACAACATGCACAATAAATGCATCCAATCCATGGATTAGTCTGGTGGTGCTCCACCTTTGGGTGCGGGAGGCTTCTGCCTGACCCTGAAGTACCCCTTTGCCCATCTTTGTGCACTAGGATTGGGCCCCCATGAACCTGATTTAGCGTGCAGGGACACACTATTTGGCTACGCTGGCACAGTGCTTCCTGGCTAGTACCTTGCTGAGCCGAGATTCAAAAGCGAGCGAAGTGGAGGACTTGGAGGTCTTCATGCCCGAGGAGGCAGCAGGAAGAGGTTTTCCTCGGTCAATCCCATGGCTCCCTTGCTTTGGCACTGCACTCCAAGGCTTGGCAGCGCTCTTCATGGTCTTTCCAGAGGAACGGTCACTCTGCAGAACACAAGAAAGAAAGGAAAGAGGACATTAATGGCTTCAAAGCATTTGGAAACCAGAGAGCAGTGGAAATGCCTGGCATCAATTTAAAGGGCGGAAACGGATATACTTCTCTCCCAGCCCTCATACACAAGATCATACATCCAAACACCGCGCTCTAGAAAGTAGCCTGTGGCTACTCATGGCTTTGATACATATCTGCGACATGCAAAAGAGGCGGGGGGAAAGTCGCATTTTGCTGGGACCTGTAATGGTCTTAGACAATTGCCCAGCCAATATTAAAAAAAAAAGATGGAAGCTACCAACTAAGCACAGCCCACACATTTCCAAGATGCAAATGCAGCTTTGAATCAGGTGCCACTGTTCTTATTCTTAGAGCGCAGGTTTCAGGTCTGCAAGATGAGCTTTGCTCATCATGCTCAAATTGCATGAGGGCAAAACTATGAGTTTGCCCTGGAGCGTGGCCCTTTCCCTCCACTCTCCACCTCTTTGACAAACCAGTCTCCACTGCATACATTTGGGACCACCAATAAAGGGAGCGGGTCCTGATGACCCAACAAGATGTATTCACTAGTCTAATATCCCTGTCACCATCAAGTTCCAAGTGTGCAAAACACTTAGACAGTACCAATGTTTTAAACTGATACTCTAGAACCGGTTCCCAGCTGCCTTCCTTTCTCTTTCAAAGTCAAAACTGCCGGAAGAGAAGGAAATTTATAACCTGCAGATTGTAGATCATATACTTCAGTGCCAGAGATACAGAAATAGATTTGATCATGTTCTGAATTCTGAAGTCATTAATAGCCAAGGATTGCCTATTTTAAATGAATCAGCAGCCAATTTCTTAGTTAGTGCCTGGCAGAAAAGGTGCCCACATCATAAAAGCTCCATTTTTATCAGCTCTGGAGAGGATGAGGACTAAATGCACCAGAGGCATTTCTACCCTGAGACCAGACCTCCACTTTAGGGCTGACACACAGTGGAGAGACAGTCTGGGGGACATGTGAATTGCTGGGGATACTTGCAGTGTAGCTGTCCTGGGGATGAAGAGAGGACTTCCTCTCAGATTGTCAATCCAGCCTCCCTCTCTCTTGGATAATCCCTTCAGGTGCCACAAGCAGATGACCCCCATTTCTTTTAAGTGATCATCAGATTCATCGATAGCAGCAGTAGCCGGTGTTGCTACAGTGATGGAGGGAGGTTTCATAATACCAATGTTAAGAAGAGACAAGGCAAAAAAAAAAATAAAAATAAAAAAAATCAATTCCTCTGCAGAGGGAAAGTCAAGGCCTGGATTCAGTCCAGAATTCGCCAGGGATGAGTTCAGGAGGGAAGTAAATCCTTCTGGCAGAGCAGAAGCAAATCTCTCTTCCTGGGTACAACCAATTACACTGGATGTACCAGCAAGAGCCATTTGCCATTTCCCCCAGTTGCAGGTTAAAAAGCTGGCCTGGCTCTCTAAGCAGATCCATACACGCCCGACTTTTCACCCTTCATCCCCCTTCCCTGGGGACACTGGGGTGATGGGGAGCAGATGGCTCTGATGCAAGCAGATTGCTTTATGCCTGCACACAGGTGCCCACAAACCACAGGACACGGCTAATCTCATCAGGAAGCGATGGCTGTTAAGCATCTACTGAATTTTATCACAGAAGAGTCAAAACCAGGACGCTCATGGTCTTAGGAAATGTAAAGAGATGAGTCAAACGAAGCCTCCTCCTGACTCAGGCAGCAGGAGCCATGATGAGAAGGGCTCAGTCTCTCTGCCTCACAATTTAATTTGTGCATTATTTTTGTGCTGTGTTCCTTATTAATGAAGGTGGATTCCCGGGAGACCATCTATTCAGGGCTTAATTGCATTCAGTGCCTACACACCTTCCAGGTGTCACGGATGTACTATTTAAAGGCGTTTTCCATTGCACGCAAGCGGGAAAGAACTTCACGCTCTCTTTTGCTGCCGTTTCAGGGCAAGCAGAGCAAGCAAGCAGCAATTCTCCTATTCAGCCTTAGAGGATCTTGACTTTTTCTTGGACCACACTGGGGAAAAAAACAATCAATTTATTTTCCCCCCGGCTATAACCTGCCAGCTTTTTTTTCAGTAAGCGTGGTCATCAATTTTATTAAGAGGTCCAACACATTTGGTAAAGGAGCATGAGCTAATCTCATTGATGTGAAAAAACAACCAACCAACCTATTTCTTTCCAGGGCCATTACTGTGTACATATGCTTGATTTTCTAAAGCAATTCATGTTTGGGAGAGAACACAGTATACAATCATGTTTAAGTAATCTTGTGCCCTATGATTTCAGAGTAACATTAGCAGCTTTTTGGCAATTTAAATGTATTTAATGGGCAATTAATTTTTAATGGACGTATGCTTCCTGACATTCATATGTACAAATCAAGCAACTGCACATACAAATAGTCATGCCGATGAGATCACCGGCTTTACACGCATGTGAATTTTACGGCTGCAATTTTCTGACTGTTCCCTTTGAACCTCTCCAGAGCCCTAGCTCAGCACCCTCCAGCTCTGCTGCATCATGATCCTTTCTCTGGTGAACAATATCCAATCAGATTTTATCTTGAATCAGCCAGCGCATTTTAGATGGCTAGGGCGGGTTACAGCCCTTGGATGGTCAAGTTGAAAAGAGAAGAGCAGGAGCTGGAATAAACCTCAGCAAAGGCAGCTACCATTTGAATAGCAGTCCTCCTGCCCTTTCCTTGCAGGCAACAGTAGCTTATACTACAAGCTAAATCAATAAATAGGAATATCTGCGCTGCCATGTTAATGCTTCGCTGGGCCAAGCAGATGAAACTAAGGAAATCGCTAAACATCAAGGTCTATTTAGATGGGGTCTTGTGTGTCGAAAACTGGAAATCACTGCATCATCAACCAACACTGGGGTGGGAGGAGGGCAAAGAAGTAATCTCTCCTATTAGCATTTCTGAAGCAAGCATTACAGATGATCTGGTCAGATTGATCTTGAGGCCCCTTCTCAGTTCAGGAAGGGACCTAGAGAGGTGTAAACATTACAAAGAAAAATAATCTACCAAGCACATTCAACATGCATTGAAATCCTCGCTAAGTAGTACGGGGCCTCTAAGCAAGAACAGATTAGAAACTATTAGACAGTGGCCAGCCCGGATGCTCAGCTGAAGTTCGGTCTTGGTTCAGAGAATATCAGTCCTGAATATTTTTTTGCAAATGTTTCTTTCTACGCAGCCATCAGTCCCTGATTCGAAACAGGCATTACGCTTCACACAGGGAATTCCTCTTTCTGTGCCTGCTATGCCGAAATCATCAACAACCCAGCTACAAGACCAGGAAGCGAGCAAAGTGCATGAACAGCTGGGCAGATGAAGAACTAGATAGCACAATTTCTGGAGTAGACAGCCTTTCATTTTGAGTTCACAGATCCAGATCTGACTGGGGTCAGCAGAGATCAGCATCTGGCACAATTCAGTATCCCTTTGATGCCCTGCACAAAAGGGATCGACTGTCCTAGTTTAGTGGCTAACAGGTCATATCACCAAGTCCACCACAACACTTTGTGGCACCTTCACAAATAGATTAAATGGACCACCCAAGAGAGTCTCTCCAGGGCACGAAGGAGGGATTTTGGCAAGGCCCAACATAACAAACTTGTCTTCGAATCACACAACCAGCGCTATGCTGTGGATAAAGAGGATGTCAGCTTCCGGGCTGTCAATGGACCTGAAAGAACAAAACCAGGTTGCTTCTGTCCATCTTCTGTGAAGCTGTTTTCACTGCCAGGCAACATGATCTTTTAAAAGAACGGTTTCAAGAACAGCACAAAATAACAAATTACTAAGAAAAGAGAAGTAATGCCCTGCTGTTCTCTGGTTAGGACAGGAAACCCACCCTTGGAGTCGACAGCAGCCATTCATTTTCTCTGAGGGCAACTTATTGAATGGGAACAAAAAATACAGGACCAGAAATCGTGGGCAGCTGGAACGCTGGGAAACCTCTGGGAGATAATGATCCCCTCCATGGTATGTGTCATGGGCCTCGATTGCCTCAGCTGGCAATGAAAGGCAAGTCAAAACGCCAGCTGTAGGTCGAGAGGGTAGCATGGCAGGGGTGAGCGTGGAGACAGGGAAACGCCTGCAAGCAGCTCTAGCAGTAGCAAAATAGGGCACTGGGCAGGTTTGCACCAAGGCTTTAGGACCACAGTTAATTTTTGATGCATGCTCATTATGAAATGCAAATCCTAAAACAAAGCAGATACACAATGTGGGAGTTTTGGGCATTCCTGGCACTTAAAAGCGATGCCTTTAACATGTACCCCAAAGTGACTGGTCATTATCCAAAGGACAGAAGACTATGCACACATCTCCCACCTATGTTTTTAGATTGCCAGTGGTATGTATACACCTTCGAAAATCTCATTTGTGCTGCCTTCCTCGCTCACAGGCCTTTTGGCCACCAAGAAGAAGAGATGATAGCCTGAATAAAAGGACTCACCTCCTCAGGGTCACAGGCAACTGATCAGGAATCGCAGCTAACAGACAACAAACGTTTAAAGTTCGAAAAAGTTGAAAGAAGAGGTTTGCTGCAGCACAGGGAGAAGTTTGAAACGTGTAAAAATAAGAAAGAGGATGAGGGACTCGGTGTCATTAAATATAAACTGGAGGAAGGAAGTTTCTGAAGATCCTCAGTCAGAGGATTTTGCCACTTCAGAGCCTTTCTGTCTCAAACATGGCACCAAAAGAGCAGCTTGGGGAGCAACGCAACCACTAAACACCACCTTCTGCTTCCATGACGTGGCTTTGGGTCAGAGGCCGAGAACATGAGCCTGTGGAAGGGCAGAGAGAAGGGTGGGTGTGAATTAAAGGCAGCTTCTGCCACCCAGCCTTAGCTAGGGTCTGTCCTACGGCATAAAATATTAAAACTTGCTGTTCACTGTGATTAACTGCCCGCATGAAAGTTTGGGAATAGGACGCACTTGCAGGTGTCGCCCCTCCAAGTTTCA